AGTAAGCTATACTATTCTTTTTTCAACACAATCAAATATGGTAAGTTTTCCATAAAACAACAATGTATTTCTCAATGGAAAGAGTGTATTCCTGCATTAATAAAAAAGTCTAAGAAAAAATATCCACTTTTTACAAATTTTTTACTGCTCAACAGAATTCAATTTAAAAATATATTGTTGGAGTGTATTTCTTTATAATTTCTCTCTGTATTGTAGGTGTCTTCATTATATAATCTCTTTAACGAACAAGTGGTTTGATTTTTATTTTATTTATTATTTACCTATCTTATATTTATTTGTTATTGTGTTATTAATGTTACATTTTATGTTATTATTACATCTAATTATCATCTAGCAGCTATCATTATCAATTATCATTATCATTATCTAATTATCATTTAACATCTATCAAGTAGCAGCCGTGGCGCAGTGGTAGCGCACTTGCCTTAGAAACGTAAGATCCATGGTTCAAACCCCACCTCTGGGCAAGTTTTGCGACATCGGTTGGGAAGGAGGAACTTTTATTATTGTTATTTTTTTAGGTTATTTAGGTGCTACGAGAAGTCCTTACAGTATTATCACGAAGCACCGCGGAAGAGCATTTAACTAGAGGTTTACGCCTCCTTCCTTACCAATGTCGCTTATTGGGCTGGAACCGGCGTCGAACCTCGGACCTCTGGGTTCTGAGCCAGAACTCTAACCACTGCGCCACGGCTGCTCCTATTAATAAACTTCCTATTAAATGCTCTTCCGCGGTGCTCTGTGATAAGACCGTGAGGACTTCTTGGGGCACCTTAATCAACCATGAAAAAAAAAATCTATGATTTGTACATACAATTTATATTGTATTATAATATTCCTAATATTATTGGTACTTTATTATTATTGTTATTATCTAAATATTAATACTCTAATGAATAGTGCGCATAGTTACGCCTATTATTTTATAGTTACGGTACGGTTCTGAATTTTGTAAAATACACTTTTTAAGTAGCTTCTTGACTTTTCTTAACCGCGTGCTCTCTTAAAGAAGTCGCAACCTTTCATGGTACGAGTTCAAAATGTCTAAGTAGATAATGTTTAATCAAAGTAGATAGGTAATATAAAATCTTTTTAAAATTTTATAAGTAATTTATTTTAATCTCTTTTAATTTATTTTAAACTCTTTTAAATTGTACTTTTAAATTTAAAGCTTCGTGTTATAGATGTTAATATTGAAAATATAGATATTACTATGGTGTCTACCGTTAAAAGATATTTATGGGTAGTTTCATGCTTTCACATGCTTTTAATAATTGGAGTAAAAGCCATGACAACATTTTTTTATTAATAAAATTTATCTATATTACTGTTAATACTTTGGCTCTTTGAAAAAAAATATGTTTCTGGCTTTTCAATAAATATATAATAATTTGTCTTGCATGGTTTAGGATATAATTGTGTTATTATATGTTTGTTTTTCTGTACTTAATATAGCATTTATCATTTGTATACATTTTTATTTAAGTTTAATTGTTTATAATTTATTTAGATTATTAGAAAATTCATATTTATAGAGTTGTTATTTAATCATAATCAAGTTGTTAAAGCAAGGAAATTGTAGAGGTTTATTTATCAATTTATACTATAAATTATATAATAATATTGGAGGGAGTAAGTTAAAAAGCATTTTTAAATTTTTAAAAAGAAATAATACTTTTCAATGTATATCTGTTTTTTTTTTGAGGTAGATTTGGAGTTTCAGGTTTTCAAAGTTGTAGATCTTTTTAATGTCTAAATAGACATTAAGTATTTCAATTTCGTAGACATTAAGTATATATAAAATCTTTTTAAAATTTAATAAGTAATTATTTGTTTAAATAAGTAATTAATTGTTTATAATTTATTAAGATTTAAATTATTAGAAAATTCATGTTTACAGAGTTGTTATTAATCATGATCGAGTTGTTGAACCAAAGAAATTGTAGAGTTTTATTTATCAAATATATACTATATATATTATATAAAAAATTTCAGTTTTTCATATGTTTTCACTAATAAATAGTTCTATATATATATATATATATATATATATATATATATATATATATATATATATATATATATATATATATATATAATATATATATATATATATATATATATATATATATATATATATATATATATATATATATATATATATATATATATATATATATATATATATATATATATATATATATATATATATATATATATATATATATATATATATATATATATATATATTAATTAAATGAATAAAAACAACTTTTGATGAAACTCTGAGTTTCATGCCTTTCGGCAATCATCAGCCATTGTGTATTTCGTCACTTAAAAACCGTTTAAAAATTACAAATTAAAATTACGGTGGAACGAGTTCTGACGTTACCAAACAAAACAAAACAAAACAAAATGACGTCAAAGGTTTTAGTCCCCGGTATCAAATATAGACAGTAAAAAGTTTTTTGAATGCCGGCACTTTGATATTATTTCATATCTTTTATTAAGTAAGTTTTCTCCTTTATATGATAATATGTGAAACTTCTCGCGGAGACAAAGATTACAAACTTTTGATGCTTGATTGTAGGGCTTACATTGTGCTATTATCTTCCATGTAATCACAGGATTTATATGTTTCGATTTTAGCTCCCATATTTCTTTGGAAAGTTCAGTGTCATTTTTATATTTGGGTGCATTGAAAGATTTAAGATGGTTGGCATATCTTAATTTAAATGTGGTTTCACTTATACCGAAATAAACTTTATCTTTGCATTGAGGATCACCAGAACTTACAGTGGCTTGGTATGCGATATTGCTAAAAAGGCATTAGTTATTTAACGGACAAATATTTTTGTCTATGCAGTTACATTTTTTGATGTTTTATTTTTATCGCTATGTAAAATTTTGTTATTATGTGTATTTATTAAAGACTTGACATTAGGCATGCAACTATAGCTTACTTTAACATAGTTTCGATTAAAAATTTTATGAAGCCTGTGTCCTACTGGAAAGTGTTAGTCAATTAAAGCTAAAAAGCGATTTCCAATTTTAGTTTCAACATTTTTGCTAAACGGGGGGTTGTACCATATAATTTTACGTTTGCGATGTCTTTTTTGATTTTTGTTTATTTGCGGTTGGTAGGTGAGTTTTGAATTGTATCCTGATTTACGTAACGCCTCTTCATACGGAATAATTGAGTTATTGAACACAGTTTCATTTACTGCCATATTCGATAATCTTAACTCAATAGTGCGAGGGATTTCTTTTATTATATTAGGTGGATGGTTTGACTCTGAATGAACATACATAAGTTGGTTATTGGGTTTACAATACGGTTGATAAGAACTGTCAATCAGGTTCAATGTTACATCAAGAAAATTGACAATTTTAATATTACATTGGATGGAGATAAGTAGGTTGTTACTTTTAAAAATATGTGTAAAATGCTTTTTGATTTTTTCCATTTGCTGGCCGCTTTTGTTTTCAAAAATAGCAAGCCCGTCGTCACGATACAAGCCAAAATTATTTTTATCGTAATGTTGAGAGAGCTGAAACAACATAAAAATACCAACTAGTTCACAAACTTCAGCTCCATCAAATGCTCCCATTGTGACATCAAATAATCCGCCTCTTTTCTTTATCGAAGCTTCGTCGTTATTAAAAATTAAAGATTTTATTGCATGATATATTATTTTTTTATCGTCATTTTTTATAATAACATGTTGTTCGGCGAAACTGATTGCGTTGGTAAGAATGTTTTCACTAATAGATGGGTAAAAATCATTTATATCAAAAATTAGAAATTTGCAAAGGTGTTTATTTTTGATTTTTTTAAACCAATCGATAACAAAATGGGTGCTTTGCCATTGATTCAACTGTAGTTTATTTTTTAATTCGTGAATAATTTTAGATAAAATAACTTTGCTAATTCTTCCTACCTCGTTTTTCGAAGGGTTTAAAAGGCGAACTGAAGGGTTGTTAATAAAATTATCCTTATGGTCTTTTAATGTAAAAAAACAGCCGGACGATCCGTTTATCTCAATATTGTTATACACTTCATGGTGGATTAAAAGGTTTTTTCCTTCCTTAATTATTTGATCTTTTAATTCTGGCATCGACTTTTTGTAGGTAGAAGTAATTGCGTTTGTTAACAGTATGTTGTATTCATCTTTAGATAATTTATATAAATTAGATGTTTTGTCTGCCTTTATTAATGTTTTATGCGACGTACGTATGGATTTTAAGTCTTTTTGCATATTATTTTGAAACTTACAGTTTACGTTGCAAAATTTTATTGATTTAACTAAGTTTATAAGGTCTTTTTCGAAAGAACGCATTTCATTTATTTGTGGTGGGCATTTTGATGATTTGATTGATGAGATGATTTGATTGATAAATAAATATTGCTCTATTATTTAATAGTGTTGAGCACTCTTAAACGCACAAGAGTATTTGTATTATTATTATTATACCATAATAATACATTTTCTAATTTGTGTATATATATATATATATATATATATATATATATATATATATATATATATATATATATATATATATATATATATATATATATATATATATATATATATATATATATATATATAACTATTTTAAAGAACCTTGCAAATAATTTCAATGGTTTTATGAGGATTATTCGATGTCCGGGCTTCAATTTTTTTATGTGTTGTATGAATATTGAACCCACACGTCCGATATTTGTAGCAGTATTCATGGTTTTATGGTACCCTGTTCGGGGTTTATCTTTAAAACTAACTCTTCCATCTTGAAATAGACCAGCCTACTTGATAACTGTACTATATATTGATACTTGGTTACCATAAACTAATACCAATTCATCGGACATGTGCTGAAACTCCGAGTAGAGCATGGGTTTCAATATATATTCAATTCTCAACTTTTTCCATTTTAAAATTTTTCTTTTAACGTGTTTTAAAAAAACTTAATACATATTCAAAAAATTTCAACAAGTACTTAACATGTTCATAAAAAATACAGTTTATGATTTATAAATATTTGATTATTTCCTGTTTTATTGCAACTTTATAAAATGAAGTTATACGTACTTTTGTAACTAATAATAAATAATAATAATTTGCCTCGATTGTCATTATATTTATTGTTTTTTTAATCAGTTCATTCAACAAATGCTCTTCTTAATCCAACAGGTGTTCTTCTTATTGTTTCATACTTCTTGTTTATGACAATCAGAGAGAGGGGGGGGGGACCGGGATAGTTTGTCACGGGTTGCAGATATTCAAGGGGCGCCAAATGAAATGTAGGTACCTAAAAGAAAAAACAAAGATCCTTCTTATATAATATAGGGAAAATTTGATATATAAGGGCGCCAATCAGGATTGCTGTCCCAGGCGGCGTGACAGTTCTCGGTGGCCCTGATGACAACTGCCTTTTTTTGATACTTTTTTTCTTGAATACTTAAAAAAAATTTCATTTTTATCAATTTTATCATTGAAAATTGTTATTAGTGTGTTTTCATAAATCTCAAGTAAATGTATTGTTTCTTTTGTAGAAAACTACGCTATTTTTATTCTCGGCATTTAAAAAAAAAAAAAAAAAGCGCGCCCGTTCACGATTACGTTTGCAAAAAGAAATTGGTTATCACAAATGTGAGTGCTGTATTTAGCACAAGGTTAAGTTTTATTGAGCTTATAAGTTTTATCTTTTAGTTTTATTGTTAAGTTTTATTGAGCAAATACAAGTTTCTTCAAAAACAACATTTTTTTACTTTAATGAGTAAAAGATTTTATAAAAAACCCAACGGTGAAGGATCGAGAAAATGGTTTAATGGATATCCCACACATAGTTAAAAACACTTGTTAACAACCTTAAAAAAAAAGTTGTAAACAACCTTATTATGATTAAATATTATTTTAATTTAAATTTCTAAATAATATATTGTATAACTAAAAAAAAGTTATAAAAGTTAGAATTGAATTATAAACTTAAAGAAAAGTTATTTTGTTAAACGATTACCTTTATAGCCACACATCTTTGTAAAATCACTATTTCCATAGCCATCTTTTCAAAAGCATTATCAAAGGCGAACATTTATAAAATGTTTACGACCTCTGAAATTTGTTGCATTTATAAAATGTTTACGACCAATGAAATTTGTTGCATTTATAATATCTTTACGACCTCTGAAATTTGTTGCATTTATAAAATGTTTATGACCTATGAAATTTGTCGCATTTTTAAAATGTTAATCTGCAGAATTTGAGTGTCTTTACTTATTGAAATTTACTATAGGGTAGATTAGGGTAACATAAGCACCTTGGTAATATGAGCATACTAAAAGATTTCTTAGATGTGAGCATTGAACTTAAAGTTGCTTGGTATTTTTTAAATCGGCTTTATGTGGTGATAACAGGAATCAGTATAATTAGTCTAAACCAATATATAGAAATTAGCGGCTATCATCTAATTAAAACGCTGTGTATATATATATATATATATATATATATATATATATATATATATATATATATATATATATATATATATATATATATATATATATATATATATATAATCTTTAAAAGTCATTTTCTTGTTATACGATAATAATAAAATATGTAAAATTCAATAAAAACGGCTGCGTATAAACTTTTTAAAAAATAAATATTTGTTTTTATTTTAATATCTTTTTTCAAAATATATTAAAAATATAATAAAATATATTAAAATATTTTTATTTTAATATATTTTTTCAAAATATATTAAAATAAAAACAAATATATATTTTTAAAAAAGTTTATACGCAGCCGTTTTTATTGAATTTTACATATTATATATATATATATATATATATATATATATATATATATATATATATATATATATATATATATATATATATATATATATATATATATATATATATATATATATATATATATATATATATATATATATATATATATATGTATTGATAGTTAGTTAGTTTATTTTGTCGTTTTACACATTTTACAATGTTATCTTTAAATTCGAATAAATATATATATAATTACAAGCTGACAGGGGCAAGTAGAAGACATAAAGTCTTATCATCAAGCCCTTTTGTGAAATAGAGAAATATAAAATTTCTAAAATTCCAATAATATAAAAAAGAGTTAAATTAAAAATTTTGAAAAAATAAACAAACATTCAAACAAAATTAAAATAAAAATAAAAAAATTTAAAGAGTTTGAAATAAAGTAAAAAGATTGAAAAAAATTAAAAAGTTTAAAATAAATTAAAAATTAAAAAAAGTAAAAATTAGAAAGAAAAAAAAAAAAATAATAATAATAATAATAAAATCTCGAAATAAAAAAATAAAAATGTATACAATGCGTAAATTAAAAAGTTTGAATTTTTTTTTACAAATCAGTACATATACGTATACATATTCAATACAAAGCGAAGTATATATTCAAAAATATTTATATATTAAAAAGATTCCAAACGTTATGTAGATTTAAATTCATTTGTTAGTATTTATTAAAAAAAGTTAAAAAAAAAAAACAGTCAAAGAGAAAATCAAACAAGAAAGATATATATGTATATATATATATAAAAAAAAAAAAAAAAAAAAAAGCTTTTTATCAAATTTATCAAAAAAATATTATTTTTAAAAAAATGAAAGAATGTATGTAATGTTTGAGTTTAGTAAGTGTTTTTTTATAGTTCTTTTGAATATATCAATAGATTTTATTTTTTTCATATTTTCGTCAAGAACTGACTTCCACAAGCGTGGCCCCCGACATGTAATTGAGAAGTCAGATTTTTTGAGTGATGTTGGTGGGATGTAGTAATTATTTATTGAGTGTCTTGTTTCATATTTATGGTTAATTAGAGAGAAACCTTTATAAAAATATTTTGGAATTAGTTCATTTTGAAGTTTAAACATAAATAACAAGTTATGGTATATATTTAGTTCGTATACGTTTAGCGCATTAATTTCCTTGAGTAACGGCTTGGCACTTTCGTACCTATCTGCGCCCAAAACTAATCGACTTGCTTGCTTTTGTTTAGTATAAATATTTTTTAGGAAAGATGAATGATTGTTTGCCCAGGCAATATTACAATAGTTAATATGACTATGTATAAATGAAAAGTATAAGTTTTTTAAACATATTTTATTCAAAAGATGTTTTGTCCTGTACATAATCCCCACAGTCTTTGAAACTTTGTTCTCGACTAACTTTATTTGGCTTTTCCAATTTAAATGTTCATCGAAATTTATTCCTAGTATTTTCATTGAAAAAACTCTTTTTATTTTAATATTGTTAATTGTTAGTTCTGGAAGTTTAAGTGGAAGGTTCTCGGATTGAGATGGTTTAGCAAACAAAATATATTTAGTTTTTTCAATATTTAATGATAGTTTATTTGCTATAAACCACTCATTAAGATATATTAGTTCAGCGTTTACATAATAAAAAATATTTTTTAAATTTGAGTCAGAAAAGAAAACATTAGTGTCATCAGCAAAAATAGTATAATTAAGTATTTTTGAAGACAAAAAAATATCATTGATATAAACTAAAAACAATAAAGGTCCAAGTATTGATCCTTGTGGAACTCCGCAACTTATTGATTCAAATGGGGAGCATGTTAGATCATATGGTACACCTTGTTTACGGTTTTCTAAATAACATTGAAGCCACTTTAAATTAGAGTGAACTACTCCGTAACTACGTAGTTTGTAGATAAGAATCTTGTGGTTTACAGTATCAAATGCCTTTGATAGATCTAGAAAAATTCCAAGTGTGTAACAATTGTTTTCAAAACCTTGTAAAATTTGGTTCGCAAGATCAATTACGGCATGTTCCGTAGAATGGTTTTTTCGAAAACCAAACTGTTTATGATAAAGAATATTATTTTTTTCAAGATAATTGTACAGCCTGTTGAACATAATACGCTCTAATATTTTGGAAAAACAGGAAAGTATGGAAATCGGTCTATAGTTAGATATTATTGAGTCGTCGCCGCTTTTGTATATTGGAATTATTTTTGCTAATTTAAGTTGGTCGGGAAAAATGCCGTTTTTTAGGGATAGATTAAAAATTATGAAAAGGGGTTTCTCTATGATATCAGAGACAGCTTTTACAACATCAGGTTTAATTTCATCCAGACCCGCACTTTTATTTGATTTAAGCATACTAATCGCTTGCCGAAGTTCTTCAATCAAAAGCTCTGACTCATCCATGAAGAAATCAGATTTTTTCAAAAAGGATTTAAATGATTTTTTTCCCTCCGGAATTGCATCGGCTAGTTTTTTTCCTATATTTATAAAAAAGTTGTTAAATGTTTCTGCAATTTCTTTATTTACAGAAGCATCACCTAAATTGTCATCTCTTTGTAATCTTTTTGGGAAATTGCCTTTTTTTACATTACCCACGCCTGTTATTTCTTTAATTACATTCCAAGTTTTTCTTGCATTGCCAAATGTTTTATTAAGTAATGAAGAGTAGTAATTTTTTTTTGATTGCTTTTTTAATTTTTCAAAATAATTTTTATATTTTTTGTATTTTATTTCGTTTTTGTAGTTCTTTTTTTTAAGAAATTTTTGGTAAAGTTTTTGTTTCTTTTTTGACGACTTAATGAGTCCTTTCGTCATCCACGGACTAAGCAAACTTTTAGGTTTAATAATTTTTTTAAATTTTGGAAAGGCCTTTTCGTATTGCTTAGTGAACACGTGAATAAAAAATTCATAGCCGTTATTTACGTCATTGCAATCAGTCAATAGTATAATGTACGTATGTATATCAATAGACTTTCTAAAAAAAAAGTAACAACATTAAAAGATAAAGTTGGTGACAAATATCACAAAATGCTTCAACAATAAAAATAATTAGATTTAATATAAAAAAATAGGATAAAAAGAGTCCAATTTAGACTTTCTTTTCTCAGAATTTCTTAGAATTTCTACTTGGCTGGTATCTTGAAACGCTCTGGCCCCGCAATGGCTGTCTATGCTTGACACGCACAAAGACGGGCCTGCACGGAAAATCATTTAAGCATATATGACCAGAGCCGTCTTCTAATTACGGACATTCAGTACCGAAGCTAGAACTCTAACCACTACACTACGCCTGCATAAGTATTTTTGTAATAATATTTTTGTGCTGAAGCAAAAATGTCTTTATTAAAACAGTCGGAAATTATAAACTTGCGAATAAACAAGTTTTTCTATTCGAAAAAAAAAGTTTATAGGTATGATTATAGCATTTAATGTATATTGCAGGGATTATCCTTTTCCGGATATATCCGGAATTCCGGATATTTTTTTAAATTTTAGTTTCTCCGGATATCCAAATTGTGCGGCCATGGCGCAGTGGTTAGAGCGCTTGCTATAGAAACAGCAGATCCAGGTTCGAAACTAGCTCTGGACATATTTTCGCGTCATGGTAAGGAAGGAGGCGTGAACTTCCTGGTTAAATGAACTTTCTCGGTGAGACAAGACCGTTAGGACTTGTTGGGGCACCTAAATAACAAATTTAAAAAAATAACAAATTAAAAAAAAGTTTTGTCTTATTGCAAATAAATGCGAATGTTTGAAAAACATTTTTTGATTTTTTTATCAGATAATTTTGTAGGGTCTTGTAGAATTCTCATTTGAAACTGATGGAATTAGTGTAGGTTTTCAGCTAAATTTTTTAACATCATTCATTTGTTTTATTTTTGTTTATTTTTAACGTTATATAATTTTGATGGTATTTTGCTTAAATAATTTTAAATGGGATAATGGAGTATGTTTATCAAATGGTTTTGTAAAAACGAAAAATAAATTTTTGCTAAAGAGGTCTTTAAATAGTGGCTTAAAATATTTTAATTTCTTTTAATTTCATGTGTTTAAAATTTTAAACAAAACAAGTTTAAGTCACTAAGTTTAATTTTTAATTTTTAATTTTTTTTTTTGTAATCGATATAATTGTTTACGAATATTAAAAATACTTATTATTAGTAATAATAATAATAATAATAGTAATAACAATAATAATAATAGCAATAATAATTATAGCAATAATAATAACAATAATAAATACGATTGTTTTTTACTTGATACAAATTCAACACAATGGTAGTATTCCGTATTTTTATTACCCTAACAGTTTTGTTACAGATCAAATTTGTGAAAATGTTTTGTGATAGATGATCAATTGTGAGTATGAAAATAAATTTTTTTGTTTTCCTTCAAATTTTTCAAAAGTTTTAAAGATAAAGTTTCAGAAAAAAATTTAGCAAATAACATTTTAAAGTTTCAAAGCATAAATCGGTTGAGTTCCTCTCTACACATCTTTGCACGCTTTATAACCAAAGCTAAACCAACCGAAACACTAAAGCATTTACAAACCTTTGGAGAATTTTGAGGTAGCTGCAAGCAAGCAGCAGTTTTTTTTTAAGAAATGCATTGATTGTTTGAGTAATAGAAAATAAAGACTAAAAAAAAATATTTAATTTAATGAAAAATGTTGACAAAAACTTAGAAATTATAACCATGTATTTTCTATTTGTTTTGATTTCCCAAAGTGTTGCATTTGGGCAACACAGTGCAAACTTGATTAATGATATTATTACGGTACCAAAAGTTTCAAGCTGCAATAACCGCTATACAAATCAAACTTTTGGAATAATTACAAGTCCAAATTATCCGTATGGTTATCACGCAAATACGGAGTGTACATGGGTTATAGATATGCCAAAAGAGGATAGAGTTGTTTTGACAATTAAAAAATTTAATATTGGTCCAAAGGATAAACTAAATATAATTGATGCAAACGATTCAACATTGTACAACCTTACTAATGACCCTGGCGATATTATTTTTTCTAATAGTAACAAAGTGACAATACAACTAGTAAGTTCCGAAGAAAACTTCTATGGAAACCGAACGTTTTATTCTATTTTCGAGCGTGAAGGATGCGGTGGAGTATTGACAAATAAAAATGGCTACATATCTGTGCCATCTTATGTTTACATGTCACCAACACCTCACGAATGTTCGTGGACTATTCTTGCTCCTCAAAATAAAGTTTGTTTTAATTCTTCTGAATTATTAGTCTTAAATTAATGTTTTAATATTTCTGAATTATTAGTCCTAAATTTTCGGGAATTTAATAATTTATACAATTAATAATAATTGTAATTAAGAATTAAGTTAACAATTATTTATATTCAAAAACAACTTTCAATAAAAATGACTTTTTTTCTAGGTTTTATCGCTTCAATTCTTGCAATTTGATCTTCCTCCTGGGTCTTGCTTATACAGCAATATCTATATCAGAGAAGGTAGCGATGAAGCAGGATACATATTAGGTTTGAAATTGCCATATTATTGTTGTTTTTTTTGTTTTACATCTTTACTTTATTTGAATAAAGAAAAATTCTTTTGTAGGCGACTTTTGCGAAGAAAATCCTCCAATGAACCAATTAAGAACAGCAACTAACATTTTGCGTATATTATACCGAACAAGACCAAACGAACTTGCAGCGCGCACAGAACTATTACCGTCAATCAAAATGTTTTATGTACAAGAAGACGCATGTGGAGGTTTACTTGATGGATATTCAGGTTCTTTTACTTTACCTCTCAGATGGTTAGAGGATGTTTATTCGTGCAACTGGACCATTACTGTTCCACACGGTAAGCATATGACATTGAAATTCAAAGCTTGGAAATCGTATGAATCTTCTGACGGAGATTATGATGAGTTGAGATTTATTTTGCCACAAAGAAACGTTGTTTATTGGAAATCATTTGGTAAAAATTCTCCGCCTGAGAATATGTTAGTACCAAGCAATAGTTTAGTTGTGTCATTGATTTCTCATAGAAATAATAGCGTGGAAACAAAACTTCGCCTCAACTGTTTATTTCAGGCAATAGCACCTGTAGAGGAACAATGCGTCGATATAGCTGGAAGGAAAATATTTATCTGTGACGAATGGAAATATATTGACTGTTCTTTGCGCTGCGATGGAGTTTTTGACTGTCATAACAAAAAAGACGAAAAGTATTGCTTAGAAAACATTTTAGACGAGCCAATAGCTATGCAACATGCAAACGAGGTAAAACATTTAGGTCGGTCAAGTCTTTTTATTGGTCTATTTACAATCACATGTTTAATAGTAGTAATTGCTTTTATATCTATAACTGCTGATCGTTTTTGCCGAAAATTATTTTTGCGTAAAGTAGAAGATCCAAAAGAGTCAAAACATTCAAACATTTCTCCTAACCCACCTCCATATAAACAAGAAGATTATCAAATAAAAAATTCTGTTATTTCTTCATCTGTCCAAACTCTTAATAATTTTACTCAGACAAGTGAAACTGATGAACATAATCAAGGAGAAAATCTAAACTACTTAAGATCTTACAAAAAAAAATACCGAAATGAAACGTACCCTTCTCGTTCAAAAAGCAGCACCAGTTGTAATAGAAGACAGTATTTAGATTTATCAAAACGAAGTACTTTTAGCCTAAATTTAATCCCGAATCTACGTTACCCACAAAATGTAGACTTTGATAATCAAAATATGTCAAAACGTCAATCTGCAATATCTGCCTGGGAGTTTAGTAATCAAGATAACTCAAGGCACTTATGTGCTTCTCCTCAACAAAATTATTTATATCCTGATTTACAAAATAATATTTTAACGTTAAATAGAACACAGTCTGAAGCACAAAAAGATAAAATTAACTCCACAACGGAATTACAAAGTGAAAAAGAGAACACAAAAACATTGGAAAAACCAGGTTGTCAGGTATGGAATTATGAGTCTGATTTTGAAGAATGTTCATCGACAAGCATAAGCTCTAAACACGCTAGTGTTGAGCAACTTCTTTCTAGCGACAATGAAATGCATAATAATTTACAAAATACATTATTGTTAGAGATGTTTCATGCAGACAGTGCGGAAACTACAAATGATGCCCAGTCTTACAACGCAGACAGTATGGATACAACAAAAGAAGTCCAGTCTTCGTTTTCAGCGACATTATCTAGCGAATTGTAATTGTCAATGAAATTTTCTTTTAAATTTCTACAAAAATAAAAGACGTTGGAAATAAAATTATGAATAAATTAACAACATTTGCGCTACGTGCAAGTTACGTGTAATGTTGCATATTGTATGCTAGGAATAGTTGTGTATTTGTAAAATAAGTTCATGTAAATAAAATTCAAAAACTTTTTTTCAAGTTCTCTAATGCTTAGCAATACATTAACACTTAAATAATCTATGTGAGAATTAAATTCCGAGTGTGAGATATTTCTAGTTAATCTAAAATATTTTGCTAAAGTTTTTATGTTAGTAAACGAAATATTTTATTACAAATTGCCAAGCCTAAATTTTTAAAATTCTTTTTTCAATGGGCGAACAACAGCAACTATTTATATCAGAACATAAAATATAAAACTATATTTTAAATTTGTTCCAGAAACCTTTTGCCTAATCAGATTTGTTGGGTTTCCTCTTCTGCCAGCTCTAGCCCAATAAGCGACATTGGTAAGCATGGAGGCGTGAACTTCCTGGTTAAATGCTTCTCCGCGGTGCTCTGTGAGAAGACCAATGGTCTTGAGCCACCTTGATAACTAATAGTAGGTTCAGATGAAATTCAGATTCAAATTGAAAAAAATTGGTGTCAAATTCAACTTCAAATTTTATCAAATTTAAAATCTAAATTTGGCAAGGTAGGTTTTGGCGGGTAGACGATTTTGTGACGATTTATTACGAGGTTTAGGGGGGGGAGGGTCTCGATTTTGTGACGCAACATTTTTTTTTTTTTCCTAGAGAAGACGTTCTTTTAATTAAAAGAGTATCTTACTAAACCAAAACCCTCAGTTGATGTATCTACATCAGTGGTCGGCACAATATTTTCATAGGAGCCCACTTGCAAAGTTCTTGTTTTAGTTGCGGCCCTCAGCAACAAATAAATTATATACAAAATATACTATATTAACTATATAATATAATATAGTATAGAGTTAAATTAAAGAACTAACAATTATATTATTACAATGATAGTTGTATCATTACAAAATACATACGAAATACATATGAAAAAAAAATGAGTGTCAGTCAGTCTTGTTCTGTAAACATTTTTTATAATTTTCATGGGTGATTTTCAAGTCTATTTGCATGTTTTTTAAGAACTGGAAAACGTTCCTTCATGAAATCATGCCAGAAAAGAATTTAATTTTTACCAAAAGTGCCATCTTCATTTTTTTTTGGTGCCTTTCATCTCAACTCATCGTCATATTGAAAATTAATTAGTTCATCCTCTGCTTTTAAAATATCAACTTCTTCAAAATCCTTTAGAATACTAATATCATTCATTTCAAAGTCAAATGGATAACACAAATATGCCATATGCTTTTTTAAGTCTTCAAGTTCATTAAATCTGATATGACATAAATTTGTTAGGAAACTCACTACGATTTCTCAGCAAAGTATTAACTCCTCGAATTCTTCCAATCATAGCAGGAGCGCCATGACAACTGAAGATATTTTATAAAAAGACACTTTTTATCTTTTAATATTTTTTTAAAATTTTTAATAAATGTCTTGTCCTGTTGAAGTTGTAGCCAGTGGTTCAATTCCAATCAGTTCTTCAAATAAACAACAATTTGTAATGATAAAACGTGCATAAACACAGAGTTGTGCTTTAGCGACAAGGTCGACTCATCAAGTCGACTCACTAAGTCGACTCATCAAGAGCGATACTCTCAAATTCAGCTTCTGACAGATTGTTTGACATTTGTTCATAAGCATTAATAACCATTTTTTTAACTTTGTGCATACTTTGAAATTTGTCATGAATCTTTTTATCATTTGGGAAAAGAACTTTTGATGCTTCAATCATGCATTCTTTGATTATTTCACCATCAGTAAATGGTTTCAGATTTTTTGCTAATATCCATGAACCATATTAGAGGCACGAGTTTCACAATCAACATCGCTAGACATTTTTGAAACAAATTTTTCTGTTTTTCTAAACAGCTTTTCAATGAGTCAACGTATTTCGTTTTTTTGGTTTTTGAATCAAGAGGATATTAAGTATTGTAAAACTCATGTTTTGATAAGAAATGACGTTCAAGCTTGGTTCCTTTCAGTTTACTAACAGTCTCATTACATATTAAACATAGAGCATTGTTACTTGGTCTTTTTTTTTGATTGACGGCTCTGGATTACCTTTACGTGGTATCTAGTGTTAAAAAAGATCTAATTCTATTCATTAATGGAATTTAAAAGTTAAATCATTCACTAAAAGCCAAGACAAAAGTTAAGCACATTTTATATTATATAAGCGTGTTGTTTTTTTTAGGTTAAAGTGAGTTGAAGTGAAGTCCGTCCCTTTACATAAAAAAATAAATACTCAGCCTCACACCCCTTTTTCATCTATTAAGCTAGCGCAGATGTATTTTTAATACATTGTTTCTAGTTTAGGATGTTGAAAGCTGAATCTTTTTGACTCAATGCCTGGATTTTGATTGTGTCTCTATTTTTATGACAAAGTAACTCATTCTAATATCTTCTAATGATGGTACAGCTCTAAAACTTATTTTTATGGTTCTGAGGCCGGCTAGTAGTCAAGTTTCCTGAACTCTGTGGTAGCTCTCAGAAAGGCTGATTCCATCAACAGCTAAAAAATATCAGAGAACTAATATTGCCATGTTGCACATGGTGCGGATTGCGGATGGTGTTCCTATTTGTAGTTTTGGTGTGCCTTGTTGAGGCCACATTTAGAGTCCTTTGTTACGGCTTAGGATTTAGTAATAAGTAATAAGCCAAATGCATGGAATGTTAAATAGTGTACTGAGTACAATCTATGCTTTGAGTCAAGCTCTTTAAAAAATTTAAAATGACTAAAGTATTAAAAACTGTAAAACACAAAAAACCGTTGTCATCACCCAGTTCTCTAAACCTATCATTCACTAAAATTCGTGGTCTTCGAAGTAACTTTTATCTCTTGCAAAGTTCACAAAACCTACTATCTCTTTGTCTCATCTTGTGATTTTAGTGTTTTTGGTTATTTTCCTTTTATTCGTAGACTCTATTATTCATATGCTTGGCCTGGGCATTTACATTCGTAAGAATTCACCCATTTTTCGGGAAATAGGTTTGAATCCACAAACTATTCTTTTATGTGCTTTCGTTTAGCACCACTTTACTTTATCACCTTTCTCTTTGTTCTATATCGCTTTTCTTTATCTCAAAACTGCACTCTTTTTGATGTTATTTCTGATTAAATTAACCAAGCCCTCCCTTTTAATCCATCAGCAAACATCGTTGTTGTAGTGACTTTAATGCGCATCACATTGAACGGCTTGGCTCTAGTGTCAGTGACTCTGCTGGTGTTAAGGCCCACAACTTTTGTCTTTCTCAATCTCTAACTCAAATAGTCAATTTTCCAACTCGCTTTCCAGACAACCCGAATCACTTACCTTCTCTACTCGACCTATGTCTTATTTCTGATCCTAATCAGTGCTCAGTTTCTCCGCATTTACCTTTAGGTGCTTCTGATTAGGTTTGATCTCTCTAACACATCATCGTACCTCTTACAACTATCTTAAAACTGATTTGGACTCTTTCCATGATTTTCTTCGTGATAGCCCTTAGATAGAAATCTTTCGTCTTCCTGGTGACAAATGTGCTTCTTACATAACTTCGTGGATTCAGGCTGTCATGGAATCTTTTATTCCTTCTCGACAATTCCATGTCAAGCCTCACTCTTCTACATGGTTTTCTTTGCATTGTGCTTCTGCAATTTCCAATCGAAACTGCTGGTGTTAAGGCTTACTTCCATATCTATCAGCAAAACAATTCTCCAGAAAACAAACGTCGGTTTACTATTGCTAGAAACCATTGTAAAAAGATTTTGTCAAACGCCAAAGCTCGCTATTGTCATGTCATAAAATCTTGCTATTCATCACAAAAATTAGGTTCTCGTGACTTCTAAAGAATCTTTAACAGTATCAATAATAAGGGAAAATCTGTTATTCCACCTCTCTTGTATGGTTCAGACTTTGTCACCTCACCTAAAGACAAAGCTGAACTGTTTGCTAAGAACTTTTCATTTATATCATCTATTGATTCCACTAATTGCGTTCTACCTGATATAGCCGTCAAACAAGTTGATCCATTGCTTGACATTCGTATCAGCCCAGCCTCTGTATCAAAAGTGATTTTTTGCTCAGACTCTTCTACGGCTTGTGGTCCAGACAACATACCTATTGTAGTTATTCAGAAGTGTTCTCCGGAGTTGTCATCCATACTTTCAAAACTATTTAAAAGGTGCTTATCAGTGTCTGGTTTTCCAGCATGCTGTTAACCCTATTTTCAAAAATTCTGGAGAGCGATCTGACTCGTTTAACTATCGTCCCATTAGTATTCTTCCTATCATAATCAAGGTTTTTTTGAATATTTAATTAACAAACACTTAATCTCTCATCTTGAATCTAATAACTTACTTTCTGATCATCAATATGGATTTCGATCATCTCGTTCTACGGCTGATTTGCTAACAGTAATAACCGATAGATTATATATATATATATATATATATATATATATATATATATATATATATATATATATATATATATATATATTTATATATATATATGCATATATATATATATATATATATATATATATATATATATATATATATATATATATATATATATATATATATATATATATATATATATATATATATATATATGTATATATATGTATATATATATATATATATATATATATATATATATATATATATATATATATATATATATATGTTACACTGAACATGCAGAGGGCTTTAGTACATACATCGACTGACAAATAGTCTGACTCCTAGTGGAGTGCTGCTACATCGACTTAGGGTTTGGGATGGGGCAAAAATATTTTCACCAGAAAGTTTTAAATAACGTAAAAGTTTAGGTGAACTTAGTGTTTTGAAAAGAAAATTTGCAAATTGAAATATCCAATACATTAATTTTTTATGCATGAATCTTAACAGTTTAGGGATCGTTCATAAATTACACAACGCTAAATTTCACCGATAAACAAAACAAAAAAGATTATAAGTTTTTACTTGCATAGCGTTAAGTCATATAAAATATTTTTCTTTTTTCAAAAATAAATTTAGCTTTGCGTAAATTATGGACGCCTCTTAATGTTATATATTATTAT